CGCTGTCCAACTGGGGTCCCACCTGGGCCTCCTCTCCCACCCACTCCTGCAGCCTGCAGCCTCTCTCCTGTGCCTCAGAGAGCTCCCTCTCCTTCCTGGGGGCAGGGTGGCTGCAGCGGGCACCACCTCTTCTTACCCCAGACCCCTGCCCTGTCCCTGCTGCCCTGCAGGGACCTGCAATGGCCCTGCTCAAGTCTGCCCTGCCCTCCTCACCACTGGGGGCTGCGATTGGTTTGGGCAAGGATCAGTCACCTCAGCTTGGACTGTGCCAACACATGCCCAGACCCTGCCACCCTCAGTCCAAGATTGATTTTTTTTTTGTACCAGGGATTGAACCCAAGGGCACTTAACCACTGAGCCACGTCCCACATTTTTTTTCAGGGTATTTATTTTTCAGTTGTAATTGGACACAATATGTTTGTTTTATTTATCTATTGCTCCGTGGTTCTGAGGATCAAACCCAGGGCCCCGCAAGTGCTAGCCAGGCCCTGTACTGCTCAGCCCCAGGCATAGCCCACATTTCATCTTCTTAAATATTGAGACAGGGTCTCACTGAGTTGCTTAGGGCCTTGCTAAGCTGCTGAGGCTGGCTTTGAACTCACGATCCTCCTGCCTCGGCCTCCTGAGCCGCTGGGATTAGAGGTGTGTGCCCTGCCGGCTTCTGTTTGTGTTTCTCTGACACTCCTCCCGGAGCTCCTCTTCCTCTCCTCCTCTCCCCTCCTGTCCTGACACGTGCTGCCCCGTTCCCATCTCTCTCTCTTGCTCATTTGGCAGCTGAGGAGTAGCCACACCAAGGAACCTGGGTGACTTCCAGACAGAGCCACAGGGCGCTCTCCCAGCTACTGCCCTGAACAGCGCGGTGCCTGGTCACCAATGGCCACTTCACTCTGGGGATGGGTTTCTGGAAAGAGCGCTGCCAGGCCAGGGTCCCTCCTCTGTGACTGCCAGGTGTGGCCAGGTCCGGCCTTGTCAGAGGCACGAGGAGGCTGGGTCCTGGGACTTGGCATGACCGTTGGTTCTGTCCACCCAGGCTGAGCTCTCCTTGGTCGTCCCCATGTGCCCTGGCACAGGACAAGTCCTGCAGTCCCTGGTGGGACCCATGGTCCTGGCTCCCAGGCAGCCGAGACCCTGTGTGCAGCTCAGCTGCCTTTGGCATTGAGAACAGCCACTGTCACGGGAGCTCCTCAGGTCCCCACCAGCCAGCCTTCTTTTACTTTCTTACATTTGATGGATGGATGGATTGATTTTTGGTAGGAGGACGGAACCCAGGGGTGTTCGACCACTGAGCCACATCCCCATCCCTTTTTATGTTTTATTTTGAGACGGGGTCTCACTAAGTGGCTTAAGGCCTTGCTAAATTTCTGAGGCTGGTCTTGAACCTGAGACCCTCCTGCCTCAGCCTCCCAAGTGGCTGCAATTGCAGCCTGCCCCACCATACCCAGTTCTGCTCTGCTCTCGTTTTAAGATGACCGTCCGCTGAGGGCATCCAGGTGGTGTAGCTGTCTCTCAAGGGCCCTGTGGGGTTGCTCTTATTTTACAGCAGAGGAGGTGAGGGCTGGAGGTGCAGACAAGTCTCACCCAAGTCCCCAGAGCTGGACAGCACAAGAGTCAGGTGGCCTGGTGAGGTGGACCCCCACGTGCACACGTGTTCCCATGCCTAAAGAAGTTTCTAAACCAGAGGACGGGGACGTCCTGGTCACGGGTCCCTGGGAGAAGAGCTAGGTGTGGCAGGACTCCCGCCCCCGGCTCCCGGTCAGTCCCCTGGCCTCAGGAGTCCTCCCAGCCTGGGAGGCAGGGGAGACTGAGCCTGTGGGTGGCCCCCGCCCCTTCCACAGGAAGCTGGGCCAAGGCAGTCTCTGGCCTCATGAAGACATCACAATAGTGGTCAGTCACCCAGCCAGGCAGCTGGGGCGGCCGTTGCTTCTCTCCTCCTTGTCTCTGGCCACCAAGCCTCACCATGAGCACTGCTCAGGATGAGGACCAGGAGAATGAGGACACGGAACCCCAGGTCACCAGGACACCACTGCTGAAACAGAGGAACAAGAAGGAGCCAAAATGGAGCCAACTTCAGGGTGAGGGGCGGGGGCTGAGAGTGGCCAGGGACAGGGGGATGCTGGGGCCCACGGGGAAGCAGGAGGCGGGATGGGGCCACCTGGCCCAGCCAGGGCTGATCCCCGGGCTCACCACCTCCCCCAAGTCCCACCGCCCCACCACCCAGGTGACCCCACAGGGACACGGGCAGCAAGGCCTCTGGCAGCACACACTCTCTTTGAGCCCACAAGGACAGGTGGCTGTCACTGCCCGGCCTGGGGGACATGGCCCTGGAGAGTCCCCAGTCACCTCTCACTGTTGATGCCTGGTGGCGCCAGCAGGGGTCGGCAGGACCACAGGGCACTGATGGGCAATGCTGCTCACAGCTGGGAGTGACTCCTAGGGGGGAGGCCAGGGGGCTTCATTTCTGACCCTCCTTTGTCTGTGAGAGGGAGGAAAACCTGCCCGGCAGGGATGCAGGGACCTCTCCCTGTCCTGGGGAGTGGAGCCAGTGGGGAGGACAGGGAGGGGCTTGCGTCTGCCCCCACCCCAGCAAGCTCGGGTGGGAGGCCCAGGAGCCCCCTCCAGCCTCCAGCCTCCAGCCTCCAACCTCCAGCCTCCAACTTCCAGCTTCCATTCCTGGGAGGGGCGGGAAGAGCCGGTGGTGGAGAGAAACCCTGGGTCCCTGTGCAGGACAAGCCACGGGGCTGTCCCTGGAGACACGGGGACCCTCTGCCCACACACGCCCAGGAGGCTCCCTCTCCTGCCCACCTCTCGGGTCCCAGGCTCCGGACTCCCTTGTCGGAGCTGCTTCCTGAGCCTGTGGGGCAAGGTGGCAGCTGGGAGGAGGGGCTGGGGCCCGATGAGCAGGTGGGGTGCCCAGACACTGCGGGAGGACCTGGGGCTCAGGGAGCAAGTCTGGGAGAGTGGAGGGCAGGACCCATAAAGGCCTCCTCCCAAGGAATTGGGCGCAGCCCATTGGGGAGCCATTCTGACAGAGGCAAGGGGCAGAATGGCAGCGTGGACTCCGGAGTCGGGCCTTTCGGCTCCGTCCTTGGCTGTCACACTTATTTACTGGGACCTCAGGAAAGTCTCCTGCTCTCTGAGTCTAGTCTCACACCTGCTGCCTGGAATCGGGGAGCCCCGTGCTGCACGGGCAGGAGGACTGAGGGAAGTGTGTTAAGCACCCAGCTCAGAGCGCGGCTGGCGATGGACGGCCCGAGCGCCTGTGTCCTGGGCCACCTGGTGCTGCTCCCAGGAAGAGCTTGTATCCCAGGACACGAGGGCACAGTGCAGTCAGACGTGCCCAGGTTCAAATCCAGCTCCTGCACCTGCGGCCACGCAGCCGTCCAAGCTGACGCGTCCTTCCAGGCCCCATCTGCTCTCTGGAGTGGGCACCTGCCCGTGGGCACTCAGTCCTGGCAGCTGAGGGTGCTCTTCCCTCCTCTCTCCTCAAGGGCCACCGCCTCCTTACAACCCTCCTGCAGGAGGCTCCCGCCCTCAGCAGCCCACAGGTGAGTGCAAAGTGCCCCACACCTCTCTCCTCGCACACACTTCCTGCTCAGACTGCCACAGGCCCCTGGCCTGACCATGGGCCCAAACTGCCTGCTGGAAAGCCCTCCTCCCAGCCCCATGGCTCCGTGGCCCTGCATCTGGTTAGGGCCTCTCCGTGGCTCCCACAGGCTGTCCCAATGTCAGTGGCCTTGAGCATCACTCTGACCAATGTGTGGTCATTAGTAGACACCCTGGCGGACAGTAGGTGCTCAGGAGATGCTTGTAAACTCCCTGCAAGCACATCACCTCCACCTGGATCACAGAGATGGAGAACACAGACCCCCAGGAGGGGCCTAGGTCTGGGGATTCTCCATATTTTCCAAGGAATTCTCAAGCACTCCAAAGAGCGGTCAGGTAGGACTGAGGGTCCGCTTCACAGTGCTGCAACTAATGCACAGAGAAAGGTTTGTTCTGGCTCCCAGTCCTGGGGTTCCAGCCCATAGCTGGCCAGTCCCACTGCTCTGGGCCTCTGCAGAAACCAGATGCCCATGACAGGGAGGCAATGTCAGAGCAAACGATTCCATCACGATCTGGGCAGCAGAGAAAGACCAGGGTCCCACAGTGTCCTCAGATCCCAGTGACCTAAGGACCGCCCCTAAGTCAAGGGCCACACACCTCCCAATAGCGCCACCCTGGGGACCAAGCCTTGAACACATGGACCTTTGAGAGACACTCACGCAGACCATAGTGGACAGTAAATTCCCACAGGTAGCCTCAGGGTGACACAGTGACAATGACCTCTCCCTTGGAGAGCGCAGACAACCCTCAGGTCCCCCATCCGAGCTTCCTGCCAAGTGCGGGGCATGTCACCCTCCCCTGCCTCCGAGCTCACCCTGGCGCAGCCCCACCCCTCTCCAGGCAGGGGGTGCAGACAGACCTGGCTCTGCTCCAGGACACTGTGGAGCGCCACCAGCGTTCTTGTTCTTGCTTTGGGGCTTATTGTGGGGCGCTGGGGTTCCCCCAGGGTCCCACGCATGCTGGGCGAACGCTCCCCTCTGAGCTGCGCCCGGAGCCTCAGCAGCACGCTCTTGACAAACCCAGCCATCAAAGGACACAGGGAGGGCCGCCGTCCCAGGTCGCCAGGCACACCTGTGCGCCAACGTCCAGGTGCAAGTCCAGCGGCGAGGCTGCCTGTTCTTGCCACCACAGGCATGGGGACAGACTGGGCTAACCCCGCAGGTTGAGAAAGGGGGTTGAGCTGGGCAACTGGCTGGACAGAAGGGACCTGGGTTAGACCCAGAGGTCCTCCAAACCCCCTGGGTCCTGACTTTGCCCGCCAGCCAGAGCGTCATGACTGGGGGGCGAGGAGTCCTGAGGCTGATGGGCAGGTGGATAATGGGTGGCACGACCCTAGCCAGGTGGTCTTGGGTGCTTAGATGACCACCAGGAACAACCAAAAGACAAGAAGTCACAGCGGGGGTGGTGTGTCCAGCTGGGTTGGGCCCAAGGGTGGGGGTGAGGTGGTTCGGGTCTGACCTGCCTCTTACCCCTCCCTCCAGGAATATACACCAACCTGCCCAGGATCTCGACCTCCTTGCCAATGCGCACCACATGTCCGTACTGTGGCAACCAAATCGTCACGGAGATTACCCCTGTCAATGGAGTCCTCAACTGGCTAATGTGCTTAGGCCTCTGTTTGTGTGGGTGAGTGGCTGGCCCTGGACTCCAAAAGGCCCTGCCCCCGCTTGCATGGGGGGTTCCTCCTGGGAGAAAGGGCTGGCATCTAGCAGCCAGGTGGGCAGCAGGGGAGTTTGTGGAGGACAGGCAGGACCAAGGACAAGGAGTTCTGATGCTCGCCACTGACCACCCTCAGTGGGAGTCACGCCTGCCACAAGAGGGTCCCCAGCAGTGCCTGTCACCACCATGGGGAATCCCTGGCCTATGGAGTCGCCCAGCAGCTTATAGGAGGGTGGCTGTCCGAGGGCAGTGAGGGCCAGGGCCAGGTGGTGCACTTATGGCCCATGCCCTATGGCTGCAGGTGCTGCCTGGGCTGCTGCCTCGTGCCCTTCTGGATTCGAAGCCTGAAGGACGTGAACCACTCGTGCCCCGTGTGCAAGCACCATCTCTACCACTACAGACGCGTGTGACCCCTGCCCCGGAAATAAACCTGCTGACGCTGCTGCACGTGTGTCCTGCGCCCGGCCATGCCATGGCCTCCTCTGACTCCAGTCACCAGGGAGGTGGGGTGTGGCCCACAGGAGCCTGGAGCACAGCAGACACGCAGGCCACGCTGGCTGGATACGGGAAGGGTCCTGTCCCTGAGATGCCCAGCGCAGACCTCAGCCTGCTGTCCACCAGGAGGCCCGTCTTTTGCCCTCGCCCACCCGCACCCAGGCTCTCAGCTGGCCCTGCGGGTGGACTAGCACTTGGTACCGAGTGCAACCCCAGTGGGCATCTCCCTGAGCCGCCCTCCCCTGGCCAGCGCTGTCCAACTGGGGTCCCACCTGGGCCTCCTCTCCCACCCACTCCTGCAGCCTGCAGCCTCTCTCCTGTGCCTCAGAGAGCTCCCTCTCCTTCCTGGGGGCAGGGTGGCTGCAGCGGGCACCACCTCTTCTTACCCCAGACCCCTGCCCTGTCCCTGCTGCCCTGCAGGGACCTGCAATGGCCCTGCTCAAGTCTGCCCTGCCCTCCTCACCACTGGGGGCTGCGATTGGTTTGGGCAAGGATCAGTCACCTCAGCTTGGACTGTGCCAACACATGCCCAGACCCTGCCACCCTCAGTCCAAGATTGATTTTTTTTTTGTACCAGGGATTGAACCCAAGGGCACTTAACCACTGAGCCACGTCCCACATTTTTTTTCAGGGTATTTATTTTTCAGTTGTAATTGGACACAATATGTTTGTTTTATTTATCTATTGCTCCGTGGTTCTGAGGATCAAACCCAGGGCCCCGCAAGTGCTAGCCAGGCCCTGTACTGCTCAGCCCCAGGCATAGCCCACATTTCATCTTCTTAAATATTGAGACAGGGTCTCACTGAGTTGCTTAGGGCCTTGCTAAGCTGCTGAGGCTGGCTTTGAACTCACGATCCTCCTG